GATGGTGAGCGGGCTGCGGGTGTCAGCGCCCCACGCGGTATTGGGTTTTTGTCGGGCGGGGCGCCGGCTGGCAGGCGCGTGTAGTACGCTGTAGTCGGCATATGTGGCGTCGAGCTTCGTACCACCGCAGAAGTGGCGTCCAAATGGCGAATGGTCCGGCAACGAGCCGGTCACCCACGAAAACGAACACCCGCCTGATCGAGCTGAACTCGACGGCGAGGATGCACCCACAATGGGCGACTGTCAGTGCGGCACGGTAACCACCCAGAGGGCCACAGCCCCCGAAAGACGCGCAGAGAAACAACGAAGTGGGCCCAAGGTTCGTGTTCGTGACAAACAAGGCCGTGCGTCCGTAAACAGTTCAAGCCGCTTGGTGCGGCACCGGCGCCGTGCCCCCACGAAAGGTCACATCAAATTCATACACGGCACCCTTGTACCTTGTCCTTGGGTGCGCCACCCCTGCCTTAACGTACAGAACGTCCTTGCCTATGTACTACCCTGCGATGCCCGGGTTCCGAACCCGTCTTCAGCCGCTGGGTGCGTTACCCTGGCCCCAAAGTACGGACACCGCCGGCTAATGTACTAACCCGAGTCACCCAGCCATACTATTTGTACCGCCAACATCTACAAGAGCCACACTATTCAAAATGCTACCACACCCATCATTCACGCCACGGTACCGACTGCTGGTTCCCCGCGCTGGGGTACAGCACATGGTGCGGCACCCGCAATAGTTAATCATCTCAAAGTATTAGAAATCACATGGGTGCCACACGCACACCGTACTCGGACCACCTAAGTGCGCAGAGTTCGGCTCCCGACGCACCCACGGAAAGTCCAGCAGGTCTGCCCATCGCCGGGGCTGCTTTCATCAGTGCGGCCCGTCCTCTTAGTCATCAGCCACGTCTCCAATGGTTCGGTATGTCCTCCATGCATCCGCCACGGTCGCATGGGGAGGCACGTCAGCAGGCCTCCAACATATTCTCACAAAGGGCATCCTGCGTCACCAGGGTCTCTGGCACGCTCTTGTATGGGCACCTTACGTCATTAAAGCCATCGTTACGTCTCCACACGGGCAGGGTATACCTCATAGGTCGCCTTCTGCACAATCGCGCTATCTCCGTACCAACCACTGAGTACTCAAACAACTATAGACCACCGCAAGCAGGACCATAATGGAACCTTAATGGCAGGGTACGCGGTTCCAGCGGGGTACTTAGAAAATCGCCACAGCATACGTTAAATCCGACACGACCACTCCAAAGGTCTGGTCGGTTTTAACGTATGCTGCGGCGGAGCACGAAATGCGGTTGAAGGGGGCGGAATTGGACTGGCACTGGAGATGGGCACGTCCCACAAACGCACGGCGTGGGCTGCATAGGACGGCCTGAGTAAGTCTCCATTCAACGAAAGGCACAAGGCAAATGATGAAGAAGACACTCTGAATACGCAGTTTCATGGACATGAAGGTATGTTCCATGCTAAAAAGCCTCCTAAAATCTCTGGTTTTGCACCCACTATTGTAAAGTAATGCCTTTTTCGTTTGATTATATTGGGAAAAAGCGCACGCGAGATTTGACATCTATCCAGAGACTGTGGTGGGATCTGGTGGCGGAGATTGTGGCGTGGGTCAGAATAGGGCAGTGTCGATGCTTGGTGGCTATTGGGCCGCCATTGCTGCAGTCATCTCTGCCTCTGGCAACATGGGTTCCCATTCCCTGGAGATTGCTACACGGATCGCGACGTCAGCCTGTTGTGAACAAGCATCAAGCTTGCCAATTGGCAAGCCCCCTTAGAATAGTCCCCTTGCAAGGGGACCAATTCGCCAGTTGTATGGGCTGCGGACAGTCTTGCCGCTGTGTGCAAGGGCAAAAAATACCCAAATAAACGACATTCTAATAACATTTTGGGTGCGAGTCTGAGTTCTGATCGGTGTCTGTGGCTTCCTGCACGTGTGAAGACTTGTGACTTAATGCGCCAATGATCGTTGGTGCGGGCCTTCGTTCAATCTGCACGCAGAGGCAACCTTCACTGCCGACTGTGTGGCATTGCTGTCCACCAGTTCGGAGGGCTTGTCCTCGGGGAAACACCCAGCCGACTGCCGCTGGAGGTGTGTGTCGGACGTAATGTGTCCCAAATCACGTGTAGAATAGTGGCGCCGTGCAGCCGCGGCTGCCATCGTCGACAGGCAAAGAGGTTCGCTTCGGCTCTGAAAAAGTTTTGCGAATGATTTTTGTATGATTAAATAGTTGCTCTGGTTACGGGTGCTGGCCACTCCTTCGGAATGCGCATTTCTGGGTGATTAGGGAAACCTCATCATCCCGTTGAAGACGCGGGACCAACTGATTTTAGGGTGCCGTCGCCTGATCCACTCACATTAAATTGGTTGCGGAGCACTATTGACAATATGAGCAGGCCTCTCGAGCATCGCTTCACGGCCAAACTGCCAATATGACTGACACAAACAGGCCATATAGAATGGCCAGCACCAGCAACACGCGGCCTCATGCAATTTGAATGCTCATTCACAACTACCAACGATATGCAAAATCGTAATGTAGGGTAGCACAATGGCTTGCTGTTTCCACCACTTCCCAGGTGAGGCGCTGGGGACTTGGCAATGGCAATTTTTCCTGTGTCGCAACCAAAAAATCTGCAACCGTCACATGGGCAATTGCTCATTGACAATAAATGCTACTGCGTAATACCACCTTTCTTACAGGGTAATGTACACATTACTGGTTTTGTGTGAATAAATACTGGCTTTAGTATGACAGAAATGTTTAACTACCCTCTGCTTCTTTGCATGCTTATAGTACGTGAGATTAAACGCAACGTAAACGGCACATACAAATTCGATCAGACGGCAGTCCCGTTTATTGTTAAACACTCAGTAAAGCCGTTAAAACGGGGTTGGCCCATGTAGGCCGTAGAGAGGGGCATCTACTGCATATGGAGATATTGGCGACTGAGGGCCAAGGGCTGGATGGAATTGGACGAATCCCAATGCGCAATGGCAGTAGAGGATCCTAAGTTGGTGCTGGTTGAGTTTACATCTGTTGTGCTGATCGACTGCAAGTTTCTTGTGGAGCACAAATGTGTCCATTTGTGGAACTCGGATATGCTCACGGAAGGATCGTGTTTATTCGCGTGGACGGTCACCACACGCCGCGTTGCTCATTCTGCATGGTTTTCTAAACGAATGCAGTGAATGTGCCGCACGGCGCTCCGCGCAAGCCTGCATACCGGAGCGCCTCAATTGTTGCCCGTTTAATGCACGAACGGTCTCAGCATTAGAGCGCCTTTTGAGTCACGCAAATGATGCCCATCCGATGTTGTTTATTACACCTGACAGCAAGCGACAAAGCACGGCTCTTCCACCTTAGAATGATGAATGGAGCAGATCCATCCATGCGGTCCACAGAGGCAACGTACGGCGGTCCATCGCCACTGCGTCCACTACCCAAAAGGATCCATCGAATGAATTGATGTGTCGCATCTTCATTCACTGAATGAAGTGGCATTTCCCTCAGCATGGCGTTATGGACTGGTGCTTCCTATCCACGTGGATTCTGGAACCATGTCCATGTCAACCAATCAAAATTGTTTTGAATTGTCCAGCCAGCCGGTCGCGTCGGTAAACCCAATAGACTTGATTTTGAGCAGCCGGCTATCGAAAAGTTCAGGAAAAGTCACAAGAGTTCCAGCGACACTATGCTGACGGTAGCCAAGCTTCTCTTCAAACGCCAATCCGTTGCGCATACCGAGGAATGCTGCAGACTGTATATTGCAACGAGAGGATGAAACCGATACTGACTGCTCTATTCATGGGCATTCCTCTGCACATCGTGTCATCGCTCAACTGAAGCAATTGAAGCTCAACACCATTTTTCGGATAATTGACCAACGTTTAGTGCTTTATACTAGTTGGTTGTACCACATTTCCTTGTAACGTGTTGATCGCACAACCCTATGGAGGTGCCGTGCGGGACAAGTCCATTAGACTTTCCTAATGGCGTTCATCACCGTACGTGAGGCACGTCTCAACTCATAGTTATGGATACCGGCAGCACCACCTTGGGCTTGTACGCAGCACGCAATTCAAAGGCGCGGTGTTTGGACGGCCAGGTCGCCATCGGAGCAGCCCACTCGAGAAGCGCGGCCTCCAAGCTGGGCCAAAGGGCATCCCTCGCCATTCCCCGCTCCCCAAATTTCCCCTGACCGTCCGCCCGCTGCGGCAGGCCAGCAGAGGCGAGGCGCTGGGACGTGCGCGGCGGCTTGCCGCCACCCCTCCCCGCCTGCTCCACCGCCCACCCAGCGGCGCTCCGCTCCCAGACAGCTCCAGGTGGGTCGCCGCGACGGCCTGAGCTCCGGCGCCGGTCTGCGTTTTGCCTCTCCGGCTGGAGGGTCTTGCGAGTGCCCGCGCACCTATGAGCTGTGCAGTGCGCTGCCGGCTCCAGCAACGCCGGGAAACGGAGGCGGCAAATTGCGCGGATCGGACGCCCTGGGGCGGTTGTCTCGCGCGCCGACAGCGGGAATTTGAGCCGATCGATGAGCGCGGTCCGTGCCCATGAAGGCGGCTGATTGCGAGTCGTGCCGCCGCGTTCGAGTCGCCGTGGACGCTGCGGCCATCTGTCGCGCCTGGGAGCGTTCCCCATGCAGTCAGGCGCGTCCCGGCATTCATTGGGATCCCCCGCGATGGGCGCGAGTATGCGCGACCGTTGGACGGATGCGGCATCCACTGGGAGCAGCCCATGCGTCCATGGATCCAGGTCGATCGCTGAGTCTGGAGCCATTTTCTCAGGCTCCATGTCAATATGCCAAATCCTCGAGCACTGTTAGGAGAGTGGGTGGGTGGGTGGTGGTGGGAGGGGGGGGGATGAGAGCCAGTCCATCTGTGGGTGTGTTGACTGTGGGTTGCCGCTTGACGCGCGCTTCCAGGTTGGATACTTCACTGCGGCGCAAAGTACAGTGCAGAGGGCGAGCCCGCCCTGGCGGCAATGGAGCCGTCTCCGCTGGAGAAGCTGTTGGCCATTGAAAAGGTGGGCAAGGGCGGTGCAGTGGCAGCAATGCATCGAGTTTTGGACAAGATTGTGTGAACATGGACAGCTGCTTCAGCACGGCCCCAACAGGCCGATGGGTGAGCCAATTCGACCCTGCCTCACCAGCCTACATCCGTGCTTTGTGCGATTTGCGCTTCTAGATGGGAAGGACCTGTTTTCCAATTTTGTCAACAGTCTTCTGACTATTGACACATCTCTGTTGCCCGCACACTCAGAAATTTGAGACCCAATCGGCCTTCATTGACCGAGGGATAGAAGGCACCAGGGACTTTTCACCAGGCAGCCCAGCTTTCCAGCATGCCCTTGAGTCGAATGACCTCCTCTATAGCTGGCCGCTGCTGAAGAGGAAGCGAGCACTGACTGCAGCCCTGATCGTCACTGCTGGTTTTATTGGGTTGATCCTGTTGGTTGCGGGCGTGCTTCTGTGCATCGGTGGAGTTCAAGGCCTTGTAAAGGCAATTGCCGCAGTGGAGATCGTGTTCTTTGTCTTTCACAAATTCAGGTGGGCTGTGGTAATTGTGCTGTTTCTTCGTTGCCCTACTTTGCCTGTCTCTGATCCATGTACATATCCAAGCGTGTTCTGGTGGTCAATGCATGAAGAGGTGTCGATATGTGGCCATGTGTGGAGCTGTTGGGCAAGCATGTCGGTTGATGCACCACACGCCTCACGGCTTGGCTCTCTACTGCTTGAAAATCAAGCTATTTGTGTTTTCAGCATGGGAGAGCAAGTAAAGGTGAAGTCATATATCATTTCATGGGTCATCTCCCAATGTGACGCGCTGTTTGGAACCATTCCTTGCTCATTTCTAACCCCAGGTGATACTCCCATGTGCAGGAGGATTTGACAGTCTCTGATGTTGTGAAACACCAGGTACTGGCGGCTGAACGCGCAGCCAGACCAATATGAGCCTGATGGCCATGATGGCTGGTTACATTTTTGTCGCTTCATACGAATTGTTGAGGCCTCTGATAAGAGCATGCTGGACATTAACAGCTACATCTCTGTCTGGGTGAGTGTTGTTTGACAGCTGCGAGAGGTACCAATACATTGAGTGCATGTTCATCCACTTAGGGTTCAGTGCCTTCTTGCAGTTGTAATTCCTGCCATGCATTGTATCCTTCCTGGAAGCACTGTGCTTCGGTAGTGTATGTCGAGTGCTTGCAGTGCAGATGTCTCCAACAAGTTATTGAATGCACTTCAATGGTTGTGCAGTTCCGCGGCGCACCCATAGAGTCAATCAAGTCGGAGAATGTCATGGACCTGTTGACATATGGCTTTTACTACAAGAGGAGGTATGTCTGCGATGGAAGTCCAATACGCAAGTCCGTCTTTCATACTTGTAAGGAGGTGATGTGATGAGAATGCCACAGAGCTGTCAAGCTGAGAGTATAAGAGCACTGCTGCAATTTCACATCAAGTTGTACACTGTTCTTACTGCCCTGTGCTGTGCACAAATTAGTGTCAGAGTTATGAAAATGGTCGGCAGGTTGTTCAGTAACACATGTTGCAAAAACTGATGATCAAGTCGGATGGTAGGTTCGTCTGCTATGGGCCGTTGGCAATGCCCCTGTTTTGATGCTGGAGAAAATTGCGCTCCAGGGAACAGCTGGAGGCAGAGGGCCAGGGAGATGTGGCCCAGAAGATGTTGGATGAGCTGGAAAGAGTGTACAATTTCAAGTTTGAGAAGGGATTCAATCCCAACGCAAGATTTCTCGAGCACCTTCGAGAACCATTGAGGAGCGTGTACCGGCCTCTTCTTTTCTATACTTTGACAGAATTCTCGGGTGAGTCAACAACAAATTTGGGTCATGCACGACAAGACAAGTGCTGCCGCCTTCACATTTGAAGTTCGGTCATTGTACTTGCCATGCATTTGTCCAGGATCCTGAGCGAACCATAGAGCTAGCAATGATGAGGATTCGGTGCTGCAGATAGATGTCCAAAATGAAATTGGCTTAACAGAAAATGCAAATTCTAGAACAGTAGCCAACTTCCTTCTCAGAATCTGTCCGTATGATACCCAGGAATCTATCCCCACTAAAATGCGAATTTTGTCCAAATTGGTGTCTAACTGCTCTGAGCCAATGTACGTATGAGCATCGTTCTGTGTGCATGCTCGTGAATATTTCGCAGACCCGGACAATGCCATCCTAACAATTTCACTGCTGCTGCAAATGCAGCACATGGCACTGAAGACTGCTGGTGTGTGTGCTTGTGCATTCAGAGGTCCTGGCCCACAGCATTCTCATATACATGGGCTTTGTTAAGCTCCGCTTTGGAGGGTACTCTTGCTTCACCTTTGCGGGAGACCGCATGCTGGCAAACAGGATGTCTCAAAGCCGAACGATTTTCAAAGGTGGCCCAAGGCGCAGGCTCAGCGTCATGGGCAACGCCCTGCCCGAACCCAGCCCCATAGTCTTCCTCCATGGTGTTGGGCTGGGCATCCTTCCCTACCTTGACTTCGTGTGCTCCCTGGTGTGCACCGGTCACCCAGTCATCGTCGTTGAATACAGGCATGTGGCCATGCGACTCTCCTGGCGCATACCGAAGTGCTCCCAAGTGGGAGACACTGTGGTCTCTATTCTACGTGAGATTGGACTGGACAGGGCCACTTTTGTGGCCCACTCGTATGGCACTTTCGCCCTGTCAAGGATCCTGAAGACAAATCCGGATATGGTGCAGTCGGCCTCCTTCATCGACCCAGTGTGCATTGGTACGCTGGATGCTGCAATTCACCTCGTGCATCAAGATCTGGTGGCTTTCTTTCCCATTGGTCTTGCCATCGAGTGCCACGTGAGATGATCCAGTCATATGCACAACGTGAGGTTGTGGTGACTTCATCCATTGACACTGGCATACCATGACGAGGCATTTGTTTATGTTTGTCACCAGAGCTTGCAGGTGTAACCCGGAAGGTACCTGTGTAGGCACGAATGTGCAAGGCATTGAAGCACAGTGCAACCATGCACAGTGCATTGATGCAGTCTCCCAATACAGACCCTAAAAGGGTGCTTGACATCACCTTGCACTCTCTTGCAGAAGGCCCACATATCTTGTGATAGGACAGGGGAGGCACCTGGACTCAGAAATGGGATGTAATAGTTGGAATAACCCAAGAAAAAACTTAAGCAGGTTACAGCCTGCAAGAGGCTCTTAGTGAGACGTCCGCTGTACTTCATGTCCAAGTCAGTCTTGAATTGCAGCCAGCAGCAGCTTGCTGCTGTCATGGCCATGGCGACAGTTTCAGCATCCCCCCCAAGTTCCTGCTGAGGACTTTGAATCTTCAGTACAGTTTTGTGACACAACATGGTTCAGGGTCCTGAAGGGGCAGTGCACGGCTTTCAAGCATCTGCAACTCTCAGTCTGCATGTAGCCACACACAACAAAGTGTGCTGCTGTCCCTAATAAATTAATGTTGACAATCAGTATTCAATGTGCATACAGGCATGTTCCTCCCAAAGCTCCTTGACACTTTCGTGTACAAGAGAGCAAGTTGGGAGAGTATGGTTCAGTTCGCCAGAGATTTCCTCCGCATCTCTGTGTCTCGCGAACTTGGCATCACCGCTTCTATGTGCAGAGGATTTGAGTGGAGTGAACTCAACCTCTGGCCAGAAGACATGAAGGGCACACCGACGCTTGTTGTGTTTTCAGGTCAGTGCTTGTGCACGTGTGTGTGTCCTGTGCACATGAGATGCCACGCCAGTGGCACGGAGACCTTCTCTGTACTTTTGTGGCAGCATGGTGCTCTGGTGGATTCCCACAGCGGGGTTCTTGCTAAACTGACAGGTTCATTTGACGAACCACCCCTGGCATTTTGCGGATGTAATTGTGGAAATGGTGCAGGCTGTTGGCATAGTAGGTGTACAAAAAGGATGTGGTGAAGGCCATGACCTTGAGGCTAAGAGAACTTCCACACTCTCAAGGACAATGTCCTGTTTTCTTGTGGTTTGTTTGAGTTCCCAGTGTGGCACTCGAGTACACTATCTATTCAGATGCATATGCTCACCTTGCCTGATGTGACAGACCTGTTAGCCACATCCTCATGAGTGGATCCCATTGACTAAATTGATGAATCCTGACTACAACTGCATTACAAATCAGAACTCTTCGACACAGGCCTAAATGTGCAACGTGTCAATTGCCCTTTGCAGGACACGATACACTGGTTCCCAGCCCAGAGGCCAAGCATTTTCTTGGCCTTCTTGCACCAGACACCCGGGTTTTGTACCACCCAGGTCTTTCGCACGGCGAATTCCTGGGCCTCCCTGACTGGAAGTTGGAGATCATCGGAGAAGTGCTAACACTCGCGTACGCGGATTGCAAGATGTCCAGCGAAGAGGCTGATGCTGAGAGGGTGGCCCGCAAGACGTCCCTGGCAGTGAGTGTGGAAGAGATGGTGCACATGAGGAGCCGGATAATGAACAAGATAGGACAAGGACTGGAGAAGGGTGTTGCCAAGACTCTGAGTTTGCCCTGGAAGCAGTGGGACGATGCGCTTGGTGATGTCAAAACAGAGGACAAGGCAAGAATTTTGCAGGACTTGCTGCGATGACCCCTTTGTGGTCGCTGTACTGTGTTTTGGCAAGAGCAATTGCTGTGTTGGGATTAGCCACGCGTGGACCAGCAGGAAACAGATTGAGATTCTCCCTGTGGAGTGCGGGTTGCACTTTGAAGCTGCATCACGAGTGGAATGGGCAAGTCGCTGTGACTCACCAGGGTCAGCAAGGGTGGTCTTGATGCTGACATGCATGCCAGCGGCAAGGAGGCCAGCACAGTGCACAAGAAATTTTGTCTGCTGAGCAGTGTGCGACAGCAACAAGTGACAGGGATGCTGTGCGGAGAAGCTGTTCGCTGGCGGCATTTGTGCAGTAAGGGTGCATCACCTGTTCCGCCTTGCCCATGTGGACATTCAGGTTGGTGATCGCCTAGCCCACTATTTGTAAATTCAAGTTTGGCTCACCCATATCATTTAGCCCATTCGATAGGCTGCGCATAAGGCGATGTGCACTCAATGACAGTATTGTGCTGTTGCACACTGCGAAGTCCGTCCCCAGCGGTTCAATAGGGGTTTAAGCATCCTATTTTGCAGCCGTAATTTGGACAGAAGAGGTCTCCACACTACGTAAACTTCCCCACACTGCAGTTCTTGAGAGACAGAAAACCCAAGCTGCTGCCACGCCCTGAATGCCTGGATTGGTCTCCAAATCTTTTGTTCTTAACTCTGCTGGGTTTAGGGGCCCGTGAATCTCATACCTGGATCTGGGACAGTTCATCAATAGAAGTGCAGGGGCGTGAACCTGTGCTGGGGCTGTTGCTTCAGTTCGGGCACACTCATTCTCCACAGTCGAACCTTGTGCAGCAAGGTTCCACTTTCACACAACCTTTAGCTGACTTGTGTGTTTCTTGTTCTCAAACATTGGAACACTCATGCTTTGCAACGATCTAGCTTGTAGTGCCTGAGATGCGCTTTGTGCCAGAACGATTATCTGGCGCTGTCTTGCAGATAAGCACATGCGTTGCACTGCCTTGGCTTCTGCTGTGCAAGCTCAATCCCTGCCTGAAGATCAAGCAGCCTTGTGGACGTCCGAAACAACTGTTTGGATCCAGCTGCATTGATTGACCGCAGGAAAGGGGCAACCGATAGGATTGGACACGTGCACCCTTTGCCAGCAGGCAACATGTCACACAATTGGCAGACCATTTCTGGGCAGGCATGCTTGCGGGACGAGTCTCTAAACGGCTCGATGACGCAGAAGTCTGCGTTTGCAACAGAAATGGCCCCCGCACCCCAAGATAACACGATTGGCAAGCCACAAACGAGCACTTGACAAGGCGGCTGAAAGGCTTGCGAGGTGCCCACGGGTTATCCAGGGTGGCGGCAATCGCCGGTGCAAAATCAACCTTGTGGCCGCCAGAGGTGCAGTGTGAGTGACAACAGGACTTGCGATCGACAGCGACATTACGACTGCAGGGACTGGCCTGGTTGCTCCCTCCGTTAAGCGCCTTTCAAGACCTTCGGTTCGCCGTTCTCGTGGGAAATTTGTCTACTATTGTCTACTGTTTCTGAGGTCTTCTCCGGGACAGCGGCAACCGTACAGCTGCGTCTGCTTGACTTCCAATCAGGAAGAGGAGAGTGTCGGGTGATCCACGCACCTCCGGATACGTTGTGTTGCCACGGTTCGCCTCGCTGCGCAGAGAGCACCATGGACACACAGCGCTTTTAGGGCAAGGCGTTTCTGGCCTGTGGACACCGCGCAGCCAGCACGCCGGACGCCCAGTTGCACAGCACTCCAAAGACGGCCACCGAATTCCACCCCTCGAGCATTGGGTCCACGGTTCATTAAGGCCCCGAGCCTGCCACCCTCACGGGGATGAGCAAGTTTCCGCGTTTCGGGTTCAGCCGCGGCATCAGTCGAGAGGCCAATAAGCGACCATATCATTGCACGTAAAGGAACGGGATATTCGAATCTCCTCGCTCTCGGCCAGATGCGCGCCAGCCGGCCTCAGATTCCACAGGAGGGGCCGCTGTCAGCTCCCTTGGGGCCCAAAGCACCACATCCACCGGCATGCAAGGGGCCAGTTGTACTTAGTAGTACTCACTCAATTAGAGCAGGCACCACGGGCGGCGAACACGTGGCGGTACCCTGAACTTCATGTGACGCCCTGAACTTCTCATTGGATGGCGCCGCCTCTCCCAGGCCCATCACCACTGGCGCCACCCGCCCCCACATCAGGCGGCAGGGTTCCTGGGCCTGGCCGTCAGCCAGCCAGCAGCTGCACTTCCAGGAGGAGGTTGGAGCGCTTTTGAGGCGGCAGTGAGCGGAGTCGGTGGCTCCGCGGAGCGAAATACGGTTTGGACCCTGTTGGTGACCGCTGGAGGCGGGAGGGACAGGTATACCGTGAAACTGGACACAGTCTTGGCCTGGCGAGCGACGCGAGCGGGCAAAGGGGGGTGGATGGCGGATAACAGAGCCCGCTGGGGAGGCAGCGTGGAGCGACGATGGGCCGTGGGGATGCTTGCCGGCGCGTGCTTGTGGGCGTGCGTGGCGCTGGCCGCCGGGGGCGGGGATCCCATACCTGTGAGCAGCAGGCCGTTCATCGACGACTGCGATTCGATCGAGACCACGGGGCTGAGGAAGTTCGTGCGCAATCTGGAGGTTGACACGTCGAGCCCGGAGCTGCATGACATGGACGGCGCGCGGTTCAAGCGGCGCAACGCGCAGGACGGCATGGTGCGGTACGACTCGCTGCATGGCTTCACACGAGTGGGGGTCACGGGGTTCGTGCATGGCGAAATGGATGAGGAGAACTGGGAGCTGCTGCTGGGCACGGTGGGGGGCAGCACGGGCGTGGACCCCGTGGTGGTATTGAACAGTACGAACCTGGGGGAGTACCGGAAAGATGTGGGGGATGGGGAGGGGGAGGGGGCCGGGTGGGTGAAGTTCGAGGTGGGGATGACGGACCTGGTGGAGGACTGCCCGCGGAGCGTGCAGCTGGAGATGCGGGGCAGTGCGATAGCGGAGGGCAAGGAGGGGTGGGGCCTGCAGCTGGGGACTGTGGAGCTGGTGGAGAGCGGGTCGCCGATGTGCGCCTCGCCGGAGTGCCTGCCCGCGCAGCAGTTCTTGGACCGGTGCAAGGAAATGGAGGAGGCGCGCCAGGGGCGGGAGGTCCAGGCGATGCGCGACGACGCGGGCTCTATCGCCGCCAACGCCTACGGCGTCAGCCCCAACCTCGTGGTAGACAGCTCCAACGCGTCGAGACTGTTCACGGGCTACGGCGGCCGGTTCACCAGGGCGGACGGCAAGCCCGCCCGGCTCACCTACTTCGTGCCCGACGGCATCCTGTCGGTGTCGCTGGCAGTGTTCGCATGCGGCGGCGCGGCGGGCCTCAACGTGACGCCCTACTCGGATCCCGACTGTAAGTCGTTCTCGTTGCAGCCGGTTTTCGAGAACGATGGCTCCGAGTCCGACGGCTGCTGGCGCCGCCGGAGCGCCACCCTGGACTTCGGAGACGCGCAGTGCCTTCCGTCGTTCGTGGACATCGACATCGACGGCGGCGAGGGGTGGGAGCTGCAGTTGTCAGAGGTGGCGGTGCGCGGCTACGGCGTGGCGGAGAACGGCGAGGGCCAGGCGGCCCTGGCGGAGACCCGCGACGCGGAGGCGCCCGAACTCGGGGCGCAGGCGGAGGGGGATGGGGTTGGCGATGGGTCGTCAGGAAGGGGCGTGATTAAGAAGCTCTTCCCCGTGCTGCTGCTGGCCGCGTGCCTGGGCGCCATCGTGGGCGTCATCCTGATGGTGCGCACGGCGCGCGTGTGCTGCGGCGTGGACCTCAGCCCCTCTGCCCTGGGCTGCGCGATCAATCCCTGCTGCGGCGGCGGCACCACCGATACCGAATCGGGCAAGCCCAGCAGCGCCACTTTCGATAGACTGTCGACCTACCCCAGTGCCTCCCCGCGGGGCAAGTCCCTGTCGCCCAGGCGCGGGTACGTGGCGCCCGAGGCGCCTTCGGGTGACAAGGGCGCAAGTGCCATAAGCATTAGCTTCTCGAACGAAGCCAAGGGGAAGAAGGAGCAGCCGAGCAAGTTGGGGCACAGGCGCGGCGCGTCCTTCTTCGAGCAGGCAATCCGGGACATTCAGAGGACGTTCATGGCGGCCAAGAAGCCGGCACCTAAGATGCGGGAGGGCGAGCTGGTCACGGAGGTGCAGGTGGGGCAGGGAGGGTACGGCAGCGTGTGGAAGGCGACGTGGGAGGGCGCGCCCGTGGCGGTCAAAATCGTGGCGCTGCCCGAGACGATGAGCGGCGAGGCCAGGCGGTCGAGGATGGCGCTCATGGAAGCCGCCATCTCGGGCTGCCTGGCGCATCCCAACATTGTCCAGACGTTCACCTGCGACGTCCGGGCCAGGCCCGCGGACGAGGGCCCGGAGAAGGACGTCGAGGCAGACGGCGGCAAGCCCTGGGTGCCGTGGGCGGACTTCAAGGGCCAGCCGCGCAAGGCGAACTTCCTGGCCGGAGGGGGCGCCTCCCCCAGGATGGAGGTCCGCCTGGTGATGGAGTTCTGCGACGCCGGCTCCCTGCGCGACGCGCTGAGAGACAGGAGGTGAGGCTATATAAGACGTCTTGGAGTAAGCCGTCACTGGACCGGGGTGGCTGTGGTTGTTGTCAGCGTGTGGGGGCTGTTCGCTGGGTTGAGGTGAAGTGAAGTGAGGTGCCGCGTCCGCAAGTCACCCTCTGCGTGTGCAACGAGCCTGTGTGAAAATGAAGGTTTCGGGAATATGGCCAGCCCGGCCGTATTCCCGAATTTTGTGAGAATGGACCCGGATTTGGGCATCTGCATGGCGAATAGCGCTGGAAAGCGCGACCAAATTCAGACACACGTGAAGCAAATCCAGCTCTGGGGTTTGTGTAGGACCTACAGTTTTTGAAATGTGCACTTTTCAATGATGTGATTCCCAGTTTTCCGTAGTCAAGTCGACCTGTGCGGGTAGTTGACAGAGGTGGGCCATACTGTGTGTTGCAAATTCTTCCAGGCGGCTTCGCGATCCTGTAATTGTACACACATGTCTCTTACAGTTCAAAATCATCAGAGTGGGGCATGCCTGTTGTTTGTACTGGAATCCGAATATGGGTCTACGCAACCCACCTATGTATAACCACCTGTGTACATGTCATCATCAGCTGCCAATGGCACTGATATTGGGTTTTGCAATCCGGGCACCCACATTCAGGACATGGATAGCCCTGGAGAAGTCACAGTTTGCTCTGTCGCTGACAATCCATTGGATCCTGATATTTGATGTTTGTTGGCAGCCGGCAGCCGTTATGCACGGTGTGTTTTCTGATTCACTTTGGGAACATTTTGTGCTGAAATGCAGATTCATGGATGAATCGGGCAAGTTGGTGTTTGAGCATGTGCTTCTGACAGCCTTGGACATAGCTCGTGGAATGCGGTGCCTGCACCTCAGAAGCGTCATTCATGGGGACTTGAAGCCTGACAATGTGTTGCTGAAGTCGGCAAACTCAGATGGGCGCAATTTCATTGCCAAAATCGCAGATTTTGGAATGAGCATTCCAGTGGGCCAGTCAGTGTCACAGGTGGAAATGAATCGGGTAAGTGGGCGTTTGTTCTGGAGCTCCATGTTTGGAATGCAGATTTGGAGCACGTTGCAGAAAATGGAGTTGCTCAGCAGGGATTCGTTGTTTGCTGGCCTGTGCTCCGAGTAAAAGCAGCTTCTGATCAGGAACATATAGCGTCTGCATGGCCATGCCAAATGATATGTGTGTGCTGGTGTTGTCTTGGAAAGTGAGCTCGAACGCCCACACACAACCTAGCTTGATCCTCGGCGGCTGATGATCAGAATGTTATCTATTATAGGACACATTGTGAAGTTTCTTGATGTCAAATTTGATTCAGAAATTGCTGCGGTGCGCAAGCTGGCTTGTGACTTAGCCTTCAACGCGATTGAAAATTGAAGCAGATACATTCATCCAGACTTTATTCCGCGCTAAAGCGATAGAACATGTATGCACTTGCGTGACCAATGTCAAGAGTGGGGCGACGGCAGTACCCTGGGCTTGTTGCTTTATCACCAATGAGTAGGCAGTGTGGCATCACATGTTCGCCTGACAGTATGCCGTTGCGTGTTCTCAATGATGCATAGTGGTGGACCAGGCACTCAGCGCAATGCTGTCTGCCTGCATATTTACATGGGATCATGCTCACGTCGCATCAACGCATTCATGCTTGGAGCTGTCTGTGGGCAGCTACCGTCTGGCAAGACAAAAGAACTTTTCATGGTCGATACTGACTCTCTACGTGCTCCCGCTGTCTCCAGGGAACAGGAGGATACATATCACCCGAGGTCGCTTCCCGTCAACGAATATACCCTTCGTCTGACGTGTACACATTTGGCATAATGATGTGGGAGCTGTACGCATCGAAGACTATACGGGAGGCCGCCAAAGAAGCATCGGTCCAGAAGAGTCTCACCATAGGGCGCTGGCGGCCCAGCTTCCCCGTGGGCTGTCCGCGTTCCTATGCCAAGCTGGCTGCGGAGTGCTGGAACGAGTACCCTGACTGGAGGCCAAGCTTTGACCAAATTGTAAAGCAGCTTACAGGCATGCTCAACACTCCCGCACCGTCAAAATAGGGGATATTTTGGCCTCTTCTGTGTTAATTGTAGACATGTACCGAGGGGCTTGTGTCATTTGATTTGAGACGTCAGTGCGGTTTTACGTTGCAACGTTGACGGGCTCTCTGAGGGGTGACTTCATACCAGGGTCGCTGGTAAGAATAATACGCTGCGGTTGGTGGGGATCGAGTGTATCCATAAATGCCATCACAGTGTGCCAATTTGTGCCTTCGGGGAGGGCCACCTCGAGAGTGCAAAAGGCTCTCAATAATGCTTTGCCTGCCAATGGACGGGGAGCAAATTGGGCTGCGCATACCTTCTTTTCTCATTCCTGCAGAAAAAATACGTGTTTTTGAATGTAGTCTTGGGAAAGGCGCAGCAGTACGTTCGCTGCTCGAAAGCATGTCAGTGGGTCTGGCAGCAGTGCTCATGCCGTTTCTTTCGTCGCGGCTGTGCTGCGGCGATTAGCATCCCACAGGAGTAGGTTGAGGCACAGCAAGGACGCCACCTTGGGGGATTGATTTGCCAGTAGCAGTTTTTGCATCAGTTTTCTTCACTCCATCTACGGGCGATGATCGCAGGCTGGGGAGCAGTTACTATGCACGGGGGCAGCCATGTGCGGCGAAGGGCAGCCATTGCGCTTTCCATCTGCCCGGTCTCGGGTGCTGCGGGTGCTCTTGAAGCAGGACCTTGCGAGTGGTCGAAACAGCGCTACCATTGGTCACCCTAATATGCAAGATACGAAGACTGTGCTCGAGGCGCATCTAATGTAGCTGGAGCCGCCGTCATGGGAGCCACACTGTTGCAGAGTTTAGGGCCGTGTTAATGGATCTTTGCACACCCATGCACAATGCATCAAGGTCGAAATCTGGAACGCTGAGTGAGAGACGAGCCAGTAGGATTAGGGGCCGAGTTCGCTGCGAAATAGTTTGCATTGCTTGGGGATAGTTCTGTCGTCGCGCGGGGGCTGATGCAAAGGATGAGACGTATGTAGGACTCGGAGAATTGAAAAGCCGGCGCTCCAGCAGAAAGCGAGAACGGTGGACAGCAGTTGGATGGACCTGGGGACTGTGGCAAAACTTCACTGCTTTGACAGCATAAGCGACGTTGGCACCTCTGTAGCTAGCTCACATGCATGCCAACAGTGACTTGTAAGATACCGAGGTGTGCAGACGATTGGCGACGGCCGGCGATTGGCGGCGTCAGCACGACACCAAGCGCGACTTGCGAACAGTGTGCGTGAGAGGCCTCATGTTCCGATGTTACGGAGACGTGACTGCTATTGAGCATGCCGGATCGCAACATTCTTGGCGCCGGCAGCAGCTTTGCTAGGGACTCGTGTTCCATTGAGCTTCGCATGGTCGAAGGTTCGATGGTCCTTATTTATCCGCGATGCTTCACGTGGTGGAGGCTCTTCAAAGCTTGAAAGCGATGCTTTTTTGTTGGGGCAGCGCGCGGCACTGCTCCATCGAATGCAAAATTGAGCTCATTCCAATATATTGCGTATATACGCAATGTGTGGCCCGCGCATACGGAAGCGCGTTGTTGCTTGACAGCAGCACTAAGAAAAACGAGGCCACATAACACTTTTGCGAACACACATAAAACACATTTCATCAAAGTTCTGCACGCTTTGAACACAAAAATAACACAAACCCGTAAACTTTGTACACATTTGGACACGTGTTATTTGGCCCTTTTTTTCCTAGTGCAGGAGGTGCACACCACCTGAGAGTCATGTGCCAATCGGCCCAAGCAACCGCCGCAACTTACTGTATGGAAGATGCAACGCACTTCTGTGGGTATTTGTGCGCGTTAATTGAGCAACGCTCTTGCTCGACCAAGGGCATGACCGCATGAATCCATGTAGCCGGCACCCATGGGAGTGCGGAGATCTCTCTTGTCAAGGTACCCTCGACACAGCGGAAATTGAAGGACCTGCACCGTCATTGGTACGCATCCGCATCCGTCGGAAGGCCTGACCTGTCGTCACCAGGAAATACACATCAGGTGTGCGGGGAAAACCATGTAACCTCTTTGAACACTTTGCTGCTGAGAAAAAATGCCGGCCAGCGACCCGAACTGGAGGTTGACGGAAGCCGTTGTTGACGTCTGATGTAGCACAAAAACCATTGGCCCCGTCCCAGGCAGAGCATTAGTGACGGACTTGAAACCTGCACACCAGTGAGGCAGGGAGCTATTCTCCAGTAGGCAGTCGTCAACCACCAGGTTTCAGCGGCGCCGATCGACAAGGTGAACCTCGCTCTGCAGAACCGTGCGGTCGGCCCGTCCTTCTTCCTGAAATGTGCATTGCACGCCGCTCGGCAATCGCTACACTCCTTAGCACAGACTTGCAAGTTTATTTGGACTCCAGTATTTCTGCTGTGCCCACCCGTGGTCTGGGCATAAACAGGCATAGTGCACACTCTTGTTTTAGACACACACGAATGGTGTCTGTGGCAAATGCAATTCTACTTTGTTTGCTGAATAGTGTACATTTGCATCCTCGAGCGATTCTGAGCGATTGGGTTTGTTCCACAATAATCTGATCCAAACGGACACTCCCTTGGAGTACGCAAATTTAGGAGAACGTTTAACGTTTAAATAGCATCCCCTTGCCTGACATCCAAACTTCCGATCCAGTCATTTTGGCCCCAAAAAACGCTGGTCCATGTTGATGCAAGCATTCGAGAATTCTGTCAATCAATGCACGGAAAGGATAACGGATAAAGGTAAGAACTCGGTTCCCGTGGTGAACGAGGCAGTACACCTTGTGGCTCGATCTGTGCTGATCTTTCAGACCAACAGCCCCGCGAAGCAGCAGCGTCCGGTGGTCATGTACACAAGCCGGAATCTGCTAAGAAACCAAAGCATTGCCAGCAGCCCGCGCCGCGTGTGGAGGAGGAGGAGGAGGAGGAGGGCGACGGCGAGAGGCGGGGGTCATGGGCCACAGAGGCGTTCTGGCGGCGCTGCTGGCACTGTGCTTGTTAGGTGAGGGGGCCGCGGGGCGCGTCCGTGGCAGCGCAGTTGCCAGTGCAGCCCTGATCTCTGCGCGGGAGCCCTTGAAGAGTTCACAGCCGATGCGCTGGGGCATCGGGGTCGCCCGGCGCCCGAGCATTGGAGTCACACGTCCCGAAAGAGTGCTCCTTTGCGTGTGCGGGCGGACAGCCCTGCGGTGGTGGTCGCGCCAATGGCTTTGGTTTTGGAAGCCCGCGCGCTGAGGACTTCAACCGGCTCTCCGCCCGCTCGCGCCTGCTCGCCGGGCTCCTTGCAAGCTTTCCAGGCCCCCTGCTGCCGGGCGCTGGATGCGCTGGCTGGAAAGTTGGCGGGTCGCGCGGGCCCCGTGGCGCGCTGTCCCCCTGTCCCGCCGCCAGTTTCAGGGCAGCAGACGGGCAGCCAACGCGCAGCCGGAAACACACGCCAGACCGGATCCCGTCCCGGGCAGCGGATTTTGCGTGCACAGCAACGTCAAATGCGGCTCATGGCAAAGGGATGGGCACGTGCATTCGCCTTCACAACCTTCGGCGTCTTCTTGGGTTGCCGGCACGCTGCCGGCCCTATCTGAGACACAACAGAAAAGAGCGTGAACTGCAGGTTCCCGATCGCCGGACACGGATGCTCGTCCGCTCGCACCTGATTGTGCGTTCGAAATGCCCCCCTGGTGGGCTGTGGCGCTTCGCGCCCTCCAGCGGTCCGATGCGTGACCAGCTGCGCTCGCGGCTGGTCGCGTCCGAGGCGCATTAGCTTGCGCGCGTCCGCCGAGCTCAGCTGCAGTTTTCGCCGCAGCCGCGTAACCTGGCTTCAAGTGCACCGAACAGACACCCCTGGCAAGAGCTTGTTGGCGATCTCGACGGCCAGCGGCCTAACTTCGGGTCACGCGGGTCAGTTCCATCCTTTGCTCAGCCACATGGTGAGAACCTCGACCATTTGTGCCGAGGGTTTTGGCTATTCTTCTCTTTCCAAGCACTCATCGCGCCCGAAATTCCCCCCCAGTAACCGTGGGAGACGGCGTCGCGGGGCAGAGAGACAGGCATGTGCGATGTTGGCGTGCTGCAGCATGCAGGTTGCAATTGCCCTGAGCCACTAGCCACCATTGCTCGGCAAACTGTGCCCCAGCGCTGGGTTGTTTTCAGCGCTGGGTGGACACCATAGCGCGCGGAAAATAAACTCCCTTACACTGCGTTGGAAAGGACGGCTGTGAGAAAATGGTGGAGCACAATGCACCGCAATCTATTGGCCAGCTCCCATGTTGGTGGTTTGCGCCCAATTTCCGCGTCGAGCTTGTGAATGTCTTTGTTCTGTGAGAGACACATTGTCTGGATCGCTGCTTTGCGGGGTTGGACATCGGTTTCTATTAGCCTGTGAGCACAAAGACGTGAAATAATCGCTGAAATAGTTGCCTGAACACACCTCAACACATCTCTGCAAGCCCAGCTTGTTGCCGGTCCTTGCTGCAACCTAATGGCGTGACAACCTGGCTGTGCACTTGTGGTGGGAATACGGGGAATGCCGCCTGGAATGTCCAATATCTGTTGCTCAAGCTCAAAACTGACAGGAACCGTGTGCATGATTACAAGAACCCTTCACCACTGATTGCTTTGAGGTGGACAACGGCTGTGTCCAGCTCTCTTTTATGATGTCCAAGGCACTGGTTAATATCCCTACAATCCAATGGGTCTACAGGAATTCAGTCGCAGTTCCAGCTGGTGGTTTAGTTGTATTCATTGTCCCGTTGCTTTGGGAGCTGCAAAATCATCCTTCACAGCAGGGAAATGTGACTCGCTAGACTTGATCCAGAGGGGGAGGTATACCCTTGAATTGCTTGTTGTTCCTTTTTGAAGGAACATGTCTTCCTTGAAATTACTTGTGTGTGCTCAGCTGCAACACAATGAGAAGCATACACAGCCAATAGGATATTGTAGCAGGCTGTGGATCTGGACATCGCTGTCTGGTATGTGAAACTATACTCATCACAACCTGTGCAAGGGGCAAGGCTCATATACCTTCACGTTGGATGC